TTCTTAGTCGGGATGTTAGGACAATAAAAATACCAACCAAAATTAGGTAAATTAAACTTACAATTTTTTCCTCCAATTGATAACGACCTGCGTTGTATTGAGAATCGAGGAGGCTATCCCATATTTCAACCTTTTTATCACCAATAAGCACTACTAGCAAATACCAATGATTCCCGATTCGATCCAATACGGGAATGAAAATTTACAACCACAATGACTTGCTTAGAAAAACATGCGTAAAAAAAAGCGCACTAAAGATATTGTAAAAAATAACTTAAATTGATACCTTCTCGCACTTCTTAAGGCCTACGGTGAACCGGTTTGAGTTTTCCCTTCTAAGTTTGGCACCCAATTCAAAAAGTTTACCATCACTTGTATTATTAACTTGCTCCTACATTCACATATAGTGTAAGCGTAAATTCATTTACTAAATCCCAAATTATAACAGTTTGAAAAATATGAATGCTTACCGACATATACGTGTGGAAGTACCAATTCCCTAACCCATTTTCTTGTAGATAATACACTTGCGTGTTCAATACTGTATCACAAATCCACATTTCGGGCTTCAAGCACATGAACTCATCTCTCGTGACATGATGTTCATTTCCAATTTGAATTATAACTTCCTTACTACAACGAATGAAGAAAGCAATTGTTATAATTAAATTCACGTATGCGACAACATATAAGGAATTTGGTCAATTTCATAATTCAACATTTGTAAGTAGTTACCTTGAAAGGTTATTAGACCTAAAAATATAACTAAATAACTCAAAATCGGAGTCTTGTATGTCCCCGGGTTTTAATTTGAAAGGCCCAATTTTAATCTTGGACGTTGTCTTCTGCATAGCCTTTCCTTTTGCGCTTGATGGGTCAACCCATGGCTCTTTACAATGAAGCCCTGGAAGCCTTTCGGCCGTTCGACGTGTTTGAATTCCACTATGATCACCACGGGCCAATTTTGTGAACTTCTTCTTTTCCACGCCAATTTTCAACTGTGGAAAACGGAATTCAAATATTACATTTACGAAAAAAAAAAATATTTCAGTATTTTACAACTATGTAAATAAATGCATACTTAATAAATCTAAAACATAACAAGAAACCCGATCTTGAAACTCCTAATCGCTCATCATATCTCGGGTTCACTGAATGTTTGTCCATCTGGTAATGGCGTCCAAGGATCGTTTACATCAACTGCACCTTTCTCCTTTAATTTGCTAGATTCTTCACCCTTCTTCTTCACAACATTCTCACCACCTTCATCTCGTATTTTCAGTGGCCCGTCCTCCTTAGTTTGATTTACATCTTCATGTCCCGGATGAATATGTTGTCATGCGTCTTTCATGAAGGAGCTCACTTGACTCATTACCTTGTCAGTGAGTTCCAACACTAACCGCTGGACCTCTGCCTGTATTATTGGCCCTAAAGCAAGTCCTTCAATTGATCGCTTCACCTTAGCCTGTATGACTGGCACCAAACTCATAGAAACTTCTTGAACAATTCTTTCAAGGTTTACTCTGGACACTTTATTCGTTGGACGGTGCTTTGAAACAACCCGAACGGTAGGACTCTCAAACCCACATTCCTTTCTAACCCATTTAATCATTTTCCACACCGACTGATTGTCCCAAGACACAATGGGATCCAAAGCCTTATCAACATATAGTCCACCGTGGACAATTGAATCCAAATAGAATAGTTGCAAAAAAAAAAAAAAAAACAGTGACCGCTTTGAATGACCTAACACCTTCACATAAGAACTTGAATCCATGGTCGGTCCAGTTCTTGGTCTCTATCTTCCCTGGGATCGTCAAGAAAGTTAAATAGTTCCCGGTCACTGATGGTGAAGATGTCGAGCCAAGTACAGTGCCAAGTGCAAACATCACAAATCAAACTTTAAAGTCCTCATTCGCATTTTCGCACTTTTCCAGTTGTTCAGCTAAACCCCTTACTAATACTCTCTTGCCATTTCCACCGAAACTCTTCACTAAATGTTTCACCTTTTCATCTTCTACCGGCGAGTCGAGTTCAACATCCTCGTCAGTGTTCTTAAAGCCCATAACATGCCCAAACTCAACGGGACTTATTCCAAACACTTTGCCGTGCAGTTCTATAGAAGACGTATCTGGATTGAACCTTTGAATCAAAAATTGGCACAGTTCGCGGTGTAAACGAGTGCAGGACAAAGATGACACAATACCGAACCCAATAGCATTAATTGCTAACCGCTTCTCATTCAACAATTTTTCCACCGTACGATGAAATCAGTCAGGGCTGCATCTACTGGTAAAATCCATCTCATTCATTGTGTCGTTTACTTGCCCACTCGAACCTTCTACTTGCCCAGTCGAACCTTTAAAGGCAGAACCATATGTTGCGTTCTCTTTAGGGTTCAATTTCCTCCACTTATTAGCAATCTCCTCTTGCATCTGAAATAAAAAATTCTCATTAATAGAGCCTTTTTAATAAAATAATTAATAAACTGACCAAATCCATTGCCATCTCTCACCTTACTGTCCAACTTTGCATTGGCCATTTTCCTCATTTCGTGTCGTTCTTTTTTCCTGTAAATCATTTATTTTTAATAAAAAAAACCATCATAATAATAAGCAACCACATTTCCAATTTTTAACTGTACGTGTAACTTACATGAAATTAAAAAATGCATCTCGCCCAACTCTTGATTATTACACTTTACTCTCAGCCTTGCGCTTTCCTTTCGCTGATCCCCTTTTTTGAGCTTCCATAACTTGCACAAATCAAGTACAAAACACTATCATGCAATTGTCTCTAGCGCCGAGAATTTGAATACTAATCCAAACCCTAATACAGCCTAAACCCCCCTAAACCCCGTAAACACCACAACATCACATTGCTTAATGAAAAAAAATACAGGACCTGGATTTGCACACAGTCGCTTAGTAATTGCATATACTGATATGCAATTGCATGACACTACTTGCAAGTGCATCAGCCCTCGATTATAACATTGCACAGATATTGCACACAACCCACCCATGCATTTCTCTATTGGGCCGGGATTCTTACTCATTTCAAATCCCAATCCAAATCTTAACCAATCCTAACATTACACTTTCGGAACACTTTACTCCCCTTAAAAAAATTCAAAAACACAGTCAAACCTACCTACCTACCATGAAATCGATGTCACTTGCATAATTTCAAAATAAAACTATATACTGTAATTGCATTCAGTGACTTGGATTTGCATACAGGCGATTAGTAATTGCATATAGAGATATGCAATTGCATGAACATTACAACCATGAATGTGAGATACCCACTTCACCTCACAACACTTTCAAAATGAGAAACCCACTTCATCTCATGAATGTGAGAAACCTACTTCCCCTCTTGCCCCAATTCATCACCAAAGAATTTCAATTAACAATAACATAAAACATAGTGTTAATTACCTTCACAAGGAACTAATACCAAATGCTTTGACAAGGGCTCGATTGCAGACGAGAGGAGCGCCAACAACCTACCAGTGACTGGAAAAACTGAATTCCAATTCCTATTATCAACTCGAAATGCTAACCCTAAAATTTTTCCCAAAATCCAAACCTAGAATAGGGGGTTTTTTACAATGATGACAAAGAAGAGAGAGAGGTTGCAGAGAGGAGGAAGAAACATTCTACATAAGAGGAGTTGAAGAAGATGACTTTGAAGACCATGAAGATTATCAGTTTGAAGTTGAACCAGACCACTTTGCGGAAGAAGAACGTCAACGAAGTGTGCATGTGAAATCGTTTACCTGTTGACGTTAGGAGCAGCGCATGAAATCATTTACCTCTTGACCGGGTCAACAGGTTTCCCTTGTTTTTTTTAAAAAGTCACGTGAGTGGCTGTACCGGTACAGCTGATGCACCATAGAAGTTTCTGAACCCAACTTTAACATCAAAGTCAACTTGACTCACACCACCTTGGGCGGAACCAAGGCAATGGCTGCCCTTGGCTGTAGCTCAGGAAAGGTTTGGGCAAAAAATAAATTAAATATATATATAGCATAATATTTTAACTAAAAATAAATAAATATATATACAATTTCAACACCAATAAGCATAGTAAGAGGTCTTCCACATTTGTATTTGGTGTCAAAGTTTGTCCCAACATCAATTTTAAAATTTTTCTATTAATTTGTCTCCAAAAGAGAAGCATTTTACTATAGAAAATGTAAGTACAAAAAAAAGAATTATCATTAGATTTTAAGCTAATAACTTTAGCTAGCCCACCCATTGAAAAATTTCTGGTTCCGCCCTTGCACACCATACTAGTGTGCAATGACTCAACTTAGTTTTCTTTTCTTGATTTCAAGATACAAAGGCCCTTTTAAGACATGGGAATTTTTTGTTCCACATCCGCAAATGTTAGTTTCAAAGTCAAAGTCATGTCCTTCAAAATGCCATTTACGTTTGACATAACCACCTTTGCGGATCATATAATCATGAGCCACTTTTAGAGTCGAACTCATCTCTTCCAAAATACCCCCAATTTGACAAATGTTCGACTCGATTTGATTCTAAAACCAACCTTTTCGTATGAGGAGTATTTACATATTTTCATCTATAGATATAAAGAGAAAGGTAAAGTATGGTAAAAATATTCAAAATACCAAAAATTCCATTATTTAAAGAAAATATTAACAAATGAACATATTTATTAAATGAAGATAATTTGATAAATTAACAATATGTATATTCAAAAACATTTAAAATTAAAAAAAAAAAAAGATCATGAGTCCTATTTTCTTAGGACACAACTACACATAATTTCTCTTTTTTAAATTTAAACTGAATTACTAATATTTTAAAATAAAATATTTATATTAAAAAAGAAAAACCAATCACCCGTGTGCCAAAGGGTATGGAAGAAGAAAGGCAGCAAATAATAGAAACTCTATGCCAATTGAAATATGTCCCCTATATATAAAATTATTTTTTCAGAGAAATATTCCCCAAGTTAAAGTGAATCAAACACTGGCTATAAATCATGTGGCATTATTCCGTCTATCTAAAGTAAATCACCAAAGCTCTCCAACCAGTAGTCACAGATTACATGGACTGAAAATGCAGACAAGCAATTTGTAGGTCCATAGCCCAGAACAGACAGTCCGCCAGTCGCTCTTATTTCATTTCCAGTAGAGCCAACAACACATCATTGGCCATAGTACTAGCAGAATTGTCAATCCCATTTGGCCACTCCTATATATATCACCATCACAAGACTCTTCTTTAACATCCTCTCTTCTCCCACTGTCCACCCTTTTGCTTATCTTCTCTGCCTACCCCTGGTAAATTCTTCCATCTCAAATCATACTCGTATTTCATATATTTCAATTTCTTAATTTGTAGTTGTTTCTGGTGAGTTTATTCGACATGGGTTTGTTTTACTTTCGCAGATTACTGACTTGATGCATTTTTTTTCCGATTTATATGATATAATTTTCATGATATTCCTTTGATTTATGAATTTGGATGGTAGAATCCTTGCTTGATTTCTAAAGTCACGTCATGTCGTGTGTTATGGTTTAATTGTAAGATAATGCTGGCACGGGAATTAAAGATTTTGGCTTTGGAACATCGCATTTGGGAATGGTGACCCTTCCCTGAACTCTTTCTGATTTTAAGCAACTGGGTTGAATTTCTTAATATCTTTTGTTCTTTTCTTCCTTTTGTTGGTTGAAATCCATGATAGGAAGCAATGCTTTGGATGTGGTGGGCTTCAGAACAGAGGGATTTGAGAAGTAAGCCAATAAGAATAAACAAAGAAGTGAATGCAGTCAGACCAAAAGAGGAGAGAAAAAAAAAAAAAAAAGGATATGAATGCTGGGAGCCAAAATAGAAATTGTTAAATTTTAAGCGTCCATAGATTCAGCTTGAATTGTGTCCGGCTTCCATTGCAGATAATTTATTCTCCTAGGAAGACTATGTCAGAGTCATGAATGCATCCTGCTGACTACAATATTTTTCCCCAAGTCTTCGCTAGCTTTTCAAACAAAAATTATGAATTTGAAACAGTAATATATGGATATTTGGATTCTGCAGAAAATGATGATTTCGAAACATTAACATGTCGTGTTTTTAGAATTGCTACTTAATATCTGATTATTATATCTCTTTAACATGTGAAGCTTTAAATCTTGAACTGTGGTTATATACTTAAACTTATAATTTTCACCAAATACTCGCTTCCTTGTTTTTCTTGTACTTTTATGATCATCTTTTTTTTTTTTTTTTTTTATAATTCTCCTTTTAATGCTAATGTATCTTTTATTGGCTAAGCTGCAGATATGGACAGTGGTTCAAGTCCAAGTTTGTTTCCACTGCACCGATGCAAAACTATTCACCTGGTTGGAACCAACTTTGATTTTGGATTTGCATACATTTTGTTATAGATTTGAAGCTGCTATTTTTCTTTGGTTTGAAGGACATTCAAGATTGTCCTATTTCTTGGATTTTTCTCTCAAATCATCGCATTGTGGTCTTACAAATCCTTGCATTCAGGTGAGGCATGGACAAGGAATCCACAATGTAGAGGGAGCTAAGAACTACAAAAAATTAATGAAACCTGAATATTTTGATGCGCATCTTACTCCACTAGGCTGGCAGCAGGTGGGAAGAAGGCATTAAATTGTTCTTATATAGATACTGTGTTAGAAAAACAGAAAGGAAAAAGAAGAAAGGCCTGTAACAAATATTTTCCTTCTACAGATAAAAAAACAGTGTCATTAGAGCAATAATGGTAATGAAAATTTTGGTTGCTATGGGTACAGGTTGATAATTTGCGTAAGCATGTTCATGAATCTGGGCTTTCCAAGAGGATTGAGTTAGTCATTACATCTCCTTTGCTAAGGTAATCATGCCATAATTCTAGAATTTTGCCCAGCTCTCTGTCTTTTGTTTGCTGGATAGTGCTTTTCTTGAACAGAGATTCTTAAATTTATTTTTGTATGAAAAGTTCAGTACAAAATGCAGAATTATAGAGAAAGACCTATTTTGTGAATCTTTTTCATTGAAACAAACTGAGCAACAGAAAAGGCCTATTCTGGTTAGTTAGACTAAGGTGCCTTTACATAAGGAAGGAGCTTGAGAGGAGATGAAACTAAGGGTTGGGTTGTTTGTAAGAATCTTCTTCAAAGAAGTGTTATTTTGGAGTTGCAAATGTGGTACCTAGAGGGGTCATTTGGAAATTAAATTGTTAGTTATTTTCTCAATAGATTTTTCTTTCCTTGTTAGAGGTTTGCTAAGCACATGGAAAAACTTTTAAAATTTTATAAAGATCTATTTCTTTTTAGAGTCATTTGGTGTATTCGGGACATGGGTATTAGAGTCTTTCTTGGCATGAATAGTTGAATACTGGTAGTCACTGACGGAAACTCCCAACGTTCTAGGTACAAGCTGACAACTATCTGTGTGTGATTGGGCATCTAAATAGATGATATAAATGATATGATTTTGAGACAATCTTAAATTATCCTTCTGTTTTAATTTGATATATGAAATTTTTTAAATATTTTATTGGTCTTCCAAGCTATTAGAAGGAAAAGAAATATAAACACTTGTCTCAGTGACCAAATAGTTTATGCTTTTGAGTTATTGTTATTGAATTTGGTTGGTCCATTAGAAATTTTCTTTTTGATATAACAATCAAGTTAAAAATGATGACATGGCTATAACCAGTTGTATGTTTACAACGAAATAAATAACCAGTTGTTTTACTTAACATAAATGCTACATATATATGAAGATGCCTCCTCCCTGGAAAACATTCTATGGTTTAGATGCTGCTAAGCTTTACTTAAAAGTGCTTTGACTTTTTAGGGCTCTGCAAACGGCTGTTGGAGTATTTGGAGGTGAGGGCTACACTGACAGAACGGATATATTGCCACTAATGGTGGCAAATGCAGGATATAGTGAGCATCCTTCAATTTCAAGTCTTAACTGCCCGCCCATCATTGCAATAGAACTTTGTCGAGAGCATTTGGTATGTCTTTTAGAAACCAAAATGTTGTCGTCTTTGCAGTTAATCATGATTTTAACTTAAAGTGAGTGAATCATTTGCAACTTATTGTGGGGCATTGATAAACCTCAGTTGGTGAAAATTATTAACCTAGTGGCTATCTTCAATATTTATGGAAGAGAGTAAATTATTTCATTTGTGCCTTGGTAGTTTAATTCTTGTGATGTAACATTGCTTGACTTGGCTTGTGTTTTCGAAGTACTTTTGAATGACATAATTTTCTTATTGATCTTGATTAGAAGAAATGGAAAAGAACCTTGTTCATTTATTTCTATGCATGAAATGAGAAATCGTTTGAAATCATACTGAACTTGGTGCTTATTAGTTGTTGCATTATTTCTTTTACTTTCTCTCATATTAAAAGAAAAAAAGTTCAAAGAATACATAGTCTTTGCTGTATTGACCCTCATGGCTTTAAATGTGTTTTGTAAATTTCTGTTTGCAGGGAGTTCATCCCTGTGATAACAGGAGGAGCATCAGCGATTATCAGTTTCTATTTCCTGCGGTTGATTTTTCACTGGCAAGTAATTGGATGGTTAACAATAACTGGGGGAAGAATTAGTGGTTATAATTTAATTTATGGTACTTGTCATCTTTGGTGGCAGTTCATAAAGATGGTTATTAATTTCTAATTTTCAGTATGTGCATGCAAAATGCCCATTAATTTCACAGATAGAAAGTGATGAGGATATATTGTGGAAGGCAAATGTCAGGGAGCTGAAAGAGGAAGTTGCAGCTAGGGGATTGAAATTCCTGAACTGGTGAGTACCTGTTTCATTATTGGAACTTGGGTTTCTATTGATTCTTTTAGGCCTTAACCAATATCAGTTAACATGCTAAAGCTGAAACTCCAGATTGCACTAGAATAATGCAGTTTTCTTGCATATGAGTGATTAAATAATGATTGGTAAAAGGGGCTATGTGTTAATGGGCTTTATAAATATCAGCTTCATGACAGACCAAGTTTATCAAGGTTTACAAGGTGCTTTGATCAAGCTCATCTTGTAACCTTTAGAAGCAAGAAGCTTATTATATGGATCACATGCTCCGTTGTTGGAGTTAGGTCTTATTCTTCACAAACTTTTGGGTTTTTAGTTTATCAGGTCTTTTCAAGATCTCATCCTCCATGAGATCCTAATGTTTTTTCACTGCTCTTTTTCTTGTATGATTTAACTTGTATGGGCTGTCAAGATAGCAGCCCTAGTTTTTGAGAAGTATGAAAATTTACTGACTTCTGACAGATCCGTAGACATAAATATAAGAGTTGAATTTATATGAGTTTGGTACCTTCTTCTCATCACTTCACAGGTTGTCGACAAGGAAAGAGAAAGAGATAGCAATTGTTACCCATGGTGGATTCTTGTTTCACACACTAAGTGCATTGCTAAATGATTGTGACCCTTTGGCGAAAAAAGAAATGTGCAAACAGTAAGTGTGATATATAGACTTTCACTCTATGCAAAAATCACTAGCTTAGTAAATATTTCAAAAGGATCATGCCTACTTTATTAGCTAAAGTTAAAAATAAATAGGGACTTAAATGCTGAATCATCAAGCATCACATTATCACTTCTTTACTGTCATTGCAGCTTTGCAAATTGCGAGCTTCGCTCCATGGTCATTGTTGACAGAAGGTGAGCTTATGATTGTTTCATTAGTTTCAAAAGGGATTTCATCTGTTTGTTTAGGATTCTTATGACCTCTCTTCATTCTCCAGAATGACAGGGTCTGATTCCTCAACAACTAATTATCCAGGAAAGATTCCTGATGGGCTAGATCTCCCTAGTGATGTTGCTGGTGAGAACCTTGAGAAAGAAAAGTCTAACTTAGTTTAAAAAGAAAGAAAGAAAGCTGCCACAAGCTGCGAACAAATTGGATATTGTGCATGCTTGGAATATCAGGCTCTTCCCACTTTACATGCTACATCCTGTTGTGTTTTGACGACTCCGAGATTCATAGGCGTAAAGTGGTGTCCGGTTTGTCCATGAAGAAGAGTACAAGATTGCATTTTATGAGACCTCTTTATTTGCTAAAGAGAATAACTTGTAAAATACACATCAGTTTATGCTTGACCTCTCCCACCAGCTTATTTGGCAAGTCCTTCCCTTGTTTGTGTTTTTCAACCTTGTTGCCCAGCAATAACCTGTAGCGAATGGACTATTTGAATTTCAGACATTGTTGGCTACTCTTATAGCTGCCGATGCATGGTCAGTATTGAGTAAACAGGTGAAATTTTTGGTTTCTGCAGTCGGAGCAAATTGGGAAATCAGCATGCGTATGAGGTTTTGGAATCTAGGTTTAATTTTCCAGTAAAGCTGAAAACCATTCAATATGATATTATTTCAAGGAAATGCAGGGGACTAGTAAATTTAGGTTTTAGCCAAAAAAAAAATTTCATTTTTGGAAAAAGCCAAAGTTTTTAAAAAAAAGACAGAAAAACCTCTTAACTTTCAAATCAAAGACATGCAAATGTAAAGGATTCCTTAGGAAATCTAAAAATAAATAAGGGTAATTTTTTCTATTTTTGCTTATTTTACAAACTTTCTCTCTCCTTTGTGTTTTTCCAAAGTCTCCCGTTTGTCTAATTACATCACCCAGCCAGACCTGGTAATTCTCCACCTCAAGACCATATAGAGCTTCAACATAACAGTGGGATTTTCTCCACGTACTAGGTGCATATATAGAAGCTCCTTAAGCATATTATGTCGACATCTCAAACATTCCTGTAAATGCAAAGGGCTTGTAGCTCAAGTAATTAAAAACATTTATCCATGCACCAAAGATCCTAGGTTTGATTCCCTCCTCCCCTAATATCGCTTGTAAAAAAAAATAAAAATAAAAATCCTCATAGATAATTCATGACAAATGGTCCTAAAGCTAACTTGGTAGTATCATGAGGGCTCCAAAGCACTTGCAATACCTAATCGAGGCCTTGAAGACAACCTAAGCAATTGGGTGGAAGATTTAAGCTCGTCTCCCAAGATTGGAACCTTTTTCTGGACCCTCTCACATGGCAAGATCTTGACAAATGAACACTCAGTTCTCATGGGACTACGTGGAGGTAATTCTTCCTTCTTTTTTCGGTTAACACACCTTTTATTAAGGAACTGCTATTTTTCGTGGTTCGGTAATTGCTGTTGATCTGAAAGCTACCAGTTATGAGCCTCTTCATTCTTTATTCAGCCTTATTGCTAGCTTCAAACTTCTCCTAGCCAAGGGGGTGTGCCCCCTTTATCATAATTTCAGGGAAGGCAACTCCCTCCTTTCTACCAAAATAAATATTTAAAAATAAAAAAAAATAAAAAAAGTCCGGCAAGGCATTATGTTGAAAGAAACTGCTAGGGGGCAATTATTATAGGATATCATAATTTAGTCTTCCAAACATGAAACTGTTTGAGAGTGAAAGCATCTATTTAGTTAGATTTTAGGACATCAAAGAATGATGCAGGCCTCTTCTTGGACTTCGCACAGAGTTCCTGAAAAACATGAGAAGAAGCTTCAGATTAAAATTGTTCTTTTCTTCTACAGACGGTTTGCAGAATGCCTAAACATTTGAAGGTCTATTGCAGAATTTTCTTTCCTTCATTCCCTCAAAGACTTCAGAAAATTTGATACCTCTATTGCCAAAGCCAAACGCAGAATTGATGCTTCACCCCATGGGCGGCCAATCAGTTGCAAACCTATTGGAAATCCTTGTTTATCATAGCCAACCTGCAGATATCACACAAGTACAGAAAAGTAGAAAATCAGCCCAAAAGAAAAAACAGTAGACGAAAGAGGAAGGTCATTGTAACATTTGAAATTCTTGTTTCGTCAAGGCTTGAGTATAACAACAAGACACAATGAATGACTAGGTCAAATTACCACAAGGGACCGAAGATACCTTTCTCTTATGGATAAACTCAAAAACCAAGAAGGTCCCATCTAATGAGATCAGTTAAAAGAATCCTATCCTAGTGTGTATGCTCCTAGTGTATGTATGCTGCCTGTGAAATCTTGGTAATTTCAAATGAACACTTGCTAACATGAAATGGCTTTTCGATATGGAATGACAATTGAATATAGGCGTGCAAGAGTAGGAGTAATCAAAGGCCAAATGGTTATGAAAGGTTAACTTCCTGGGATAGGATTTCATAACCATTAGTGATAATTACCCACAATTTCAACTAGAGAAGTAGGGCTTCTAGAGAGTCTGATTAGAAGGCCGTAAAAGTTGAAAATTTAGGCACTGATGTCTACTCAATCAATAGGGGGTTTCAAGAAAGATCTCTCTCTCTCTCTCTCTCTCTCTCCCCCATATGACAGAACAACAGGATAAAGCGGAAGGAAGGTGGAAGCCCATTTGCTCAACTTGTGTACACCAAGAGTTACACCAAAGTAACCATAACTAAATTAAGGCGCTTGAGATATAAACACACGAAAAAATAAATTACTCACAGGTATAGAAATGGCAGGAAGTCCGAGAAGATTTCCCGCAATGACAAACCGCATGAGATAACCTGAAACAAAGGAAGCTGTGCATCAATGCAAGTTTGAAAAATTGCAAAAAGTGTATCACGTCTCTTTTTTTCCTTTCCCTAGTGTCATTCTTACCTAGAAAACGAACCAAAAGAAAATAATAATCATAGGCGACAAGACTTCAATTTTTATTTTTATTTTTGGTTAATTGATGACAACACTTTTTTTGAGTGTAGAAGACAAAAGGTCAACAAGACCACATCAAATAGCAGGGATACAAAATCGTGGAGGCAGATAGAGGCCATGACAACCAATCAGTGTGGCTGAAAACCAATTTAAATTCATTCATTTTGATACTCATCAGGCAATTGCCATACAACTCTTCATGTAGAGAAATTAAAGAATTAAAATTATCTCTCAAGCTGCAACTCAGATTGTAGAAAAGCAGACCTGTAACCCGCATGTCTGTCTCCCCATCTTTAAGAGCACTCAATGGAATTATGGGTGCTGTCATGCTGTTAACAACAAAAGAAAAGAATATCATTTCAGTTGTAATAAAGGAAACATGCATGACATAAGCTCAAACTTTTCATGGAAAAAGTACTACCTGTACTCAGGGAAAAACAATGCTAAGCTAACTATAGAGGCAGAAAATGAGTAAAAACACTGACTAGTGATGACATCTATCTTAAAATATCTGTAGAAGTTTAAGACCTGTTCGGTAGAGTTTTCAAAAGAATATCTTTCACAGTAAAATAGGAAAATGCATTATTGTTTTCAATATTTTTTATTTTCCGACTGAAAAGTACAGAAAACATCATTTTGACAATTCCTCTGATATGTTTTTGCACTGTATTCTGTCTCCACAATGCATATCAGTAATGAATAATAGGTCTTTCTCATCAACGTGCCTTTATAGTTTATACAAACAAGAGAATCATTTAGGTATTTAGAATGCTACACCATCAATTTTTAGCTTTCTATATAAGAATATAAGGGCAAGACAGGATCAGATATGCTGATCCAGACCTGTAATATCTGAAAGTGTCAAAATAACTCGATATAAGTCAATTACCTATTTGGACCAAATTTTAATTTAAATATAGTAATTCATCTGAATTTGGTCCATTAAATGAATTGGTTGTAGATCAGGGAAAAATCCTTTCACAGGTGCATGCATTAGTGCTGTAATCAGTAACCATTACATACCCAGTTGTGGGGGTAACTATGACATCAACCTTCTTGAAAATCTCCATATGATAGTACATAATCCTTCTCCTGAAATAAATTAGATGAAAATTAGAGTGTAGATACGGAAAATTATAAGATCACAGATTCACCAGGGTAATATATTTTTAATATTTCACTTTCCCACTAAACATTTTTATCAAACATCAATGTGCTGCTAACCCTACCTTGGTATTGCACATGTGTACATAAATATATGTATATTTACATTTATGAAATAACTAAACATCACAAATAAATAAATAAATAAAACAGACTCCCTTGTGCATCTACATGTACTGAAGACAAGCCATATAATTGTTTTCAGGTAATCATTTTGCCTCACCGAAGACACTGGGCAGCAACATAGTCTGATGCAGAAAATGATCGGAATAGGGCCATACTTGTACGTGTATCATATGACAATCTCGCACCATTTCTACAGATAAAAAATGTAAGGAAAAAAGAAAAACAAATACAAGAAAGAGCAGACAGAAATAAATACTGATAGAAAAGGACCATTCCATTTCCAGTACCCATTTCGTATGTGAATCTCACACCATTTCTTGAACTTTTATACTTTCTATATCTAATGTATATTTTTTATATCGTCAATTTTTCTCTCTTAAAAATGTGATTTTGCCTCCTTTTATATGTATATTTATACTTCTTTTCACATGATTTTTCTATCAACTTCAAAGGCTGAACAAATTTTCACTCGAATTAGAATTGAATTGCTTCTTATGTGACATATTTAATTTTAAATGATTTCATTTGATGCATGTTTTCCAAAAATAAAGATTATTCACTTATTCAAGTTTATTCGAAACGAAATTTTTGAAGTAGATTCTTGATCAACTTAAAACTTCTACTGTTGATATGTGGTTAGTAGTGACGTTTTAATAATGAAAGAAATTAAAGATCTTACAGAAATTTTGATTGTATTAAGACTAAAGTTATTATGTGATACTTAAAAATTTGAAACACATAATTGACATTTATACTTATAATGACCAGAAAATGTCTCCATCAATATTAAAGCTTTTGTGTATATAATGAGTTAATTTCCTTTTATTTTTTATATTATCTAAGTTTGCCTCCCCTGAAGTAAATTCTTGGCCCTGCCACTTCCAAAAAGAAACATACCCATCCTCACAATACGGATTTAGCGAACTGAGACACTCAGATCCAATTGAAACAACATGAGCAGTACGCATTTCATGGAGCTCGGGTACAACAATTTCTACCATCTATCACAAATGGAAATGCAGTCTGAGCTCAATCACAATAAAAGATGATCACAAAGAAATTATTTCCAAAATTAGGAAGCAAGAATGAATTGCAAGAGAAATATCAAGTAAATGACAATGATGATGACTTACTTCACAACCATGAGTTTTTGAAAGAAGATTAAGAGTATCCTCACACTTATCGGAGATATCAGTTGAATATACATCATTAAACCACTGCAGAAGAGTGTTTGTGTATTCATAAGATGTCATGTAATATCTAAAGCAATTGAATCG